TTTCTAGTTCATGACTCCATAAACAAAGAAGATTGAAGGCTATAAATATTAGACTTTTGCCTTATAATGAGTAACTTACGTTAAATTCCGTACTTGACTTATGTGTATTATATTGTACAATAACATGAACGTAATGTGGTTCTCTGTAAACGAACCTGACTTGTTAAACAATAACTTAAGTGTATTGTATTGTACAATAATATGAAAGTAATGTGCTTCTCAGTAAACGAACCTGACATGTTAAACAATAACTTAAGTGTATTGTATTGTACAATAATATGAACGTAATATGCTTCTCTGTAAACGAACCTGACATGTTAAACAATAACTTAAGTGCATTATATTGTACAATAATATGAAAGTAATGTGCTTCTCAGTAAACGAACCTGACGTGTTAAACAATAACTTAAGTGTATTGTATTGTAAAATAATATGAGAATAATCTATTCTACATGAGCTTTAAAATAACGTGATGTTAATAAGTTATACAATAACAAAAAACCCGTGAATTATAAAAATAATGAATCTTATATGTCATTTAATAACATAAAACTAACACGTTCTACAATAACAAGAAATTAGTAAGTTGATCAGTTATTTCTGTGTTATTACATCATAATGAGACTGATAAGAATTTTTAACAAATTTTTATTTAATGGTCTCATATGTGTTTCCAGTTATATACCATAAAAAAGAACTAATGAGTTCTAAAATAACATTAAACTAATGAACTGAACAAATTATATGTGAAGATGTTATTCCAAAATGACATGAGACTAATGCGTATTTCTTACAACAGAAGATGATAGCGTAAAAAAAAAGTTGATTTTTATGTAAAAAAAAAGTAATATACAAGGATTTATTAGCTGGGAAACATCAGTTTCCCATCATAGCCCAGCTGTGTCGTCGAAGTGTGTGGGCGGGATATTTTGAGTTTTATGTAAAAGAACGTAATTTACAAGGATATATTAGCTGGGGAAAAGACTTAAAATAAGACCCAAAACTCAGTGGGAAGCTGATATTATCATAGCCTAGCTGTGTCGTTGAAGCGGGGGGGGGGATGTTTTGAGTTTTATGTAAAAGAACGTAATGTACAAGGATATATTAGCTGGGGAATATCAGCTTCCCATCATAGCCTAGCTGTGTCGTTGAAGTGGGGAGGGGAATGTTCCCGGAAAAATTGTTAGAGCATTGTACGCTCAATATCTCCTTAGCTCCTAACATTTATTTATCATACTAAACTCTTAAATCATTCATTTATTTCCGCATCAGTCATCTAACTACTTTTCGTTGCATGATGGTATAATGAACTTATAATGAATTCATCTTCTGGTGAAAATTACGTACTAATAGACTTTATACCAGCGGAAGAAGAAATTTGTTCTGACACCAAAGTCAGTAACCCATCGAGCATGTAAATATGTATGAGGTAATTTATTATAATCAACAAACTTCCCATAACCTAATCCACGTTTTCCATCGATTGTTATGCACGTGATGTTATACGTATTCCCACATTTTGTGCACTTGTTAAGTGGCTTTTTGTACAAGCCTAGGGGGTCTATTCGTGTCACAGCTTTATCATCTTTTATCACCATTAGAGCAAAGGAGTAAGCAATGAACCAATTCACTCTGCTTGTTAATATTTTAACAAAGACTAAACAGTTCTCTTATAAACACTATAATTAGTGTCGATTTGATTTTGTATGCAAAGATTAAATACAGAGGGCGCTGATGACGTTTCGTCTTGTAAAAATTAATTTGTTTAAACAATACGTCTATCATTGCTGAACAATTTATTGTGACAATGTTAGCTACAATTAACATAAATTATAGGTTGCACACAATTTTTTGGAGATATTAAGGAGCATATACACACACACACACACACACACACATACAGAGTCTTATTGTAACTGCTACTTTTGGAGATATTAAGGAGCATACACACACACACACACACACACACACATACAGAGTCTTATTGTAACTGCTACTTTTGGAGATATTAAGGAGCATACACACACACACACACACACACACACATACAGAGTCTTATTGTAACTGCTACTTTATGATAATGGAATCAACATCAGTAAATAAAATGAAATGTATTTTGGTATTTTTATATATTATTCTATGATGAAATTTAAGACATCAGTAAGACCTGTCTATAGGTGTCGCTGCAATTTTCACTGGTAAAAGAACATATGTTTTATGTATACTATCTTATATTCAAAATATCAACAGTTATATAACTTTTACTGTTAAGACTCAAATAACAAAAAAAATTAAAATACATTCAAGTGTACGGAGGATGGATAAGTTAAATATCATTAGTAGTTGTTTTTATTGTTTTCTTAGTGCAAAACTATAATGGGTTTTCTTCACTCTGTCCACAGCGGGGAATCGAACACCGGATTCTAGCGTTGGAAGTCCTTTAATTGTCCTGACCTACCAGGGGATATCATAAGTTATATAACGGCTTGTTTTATTTCAAATCCAATCAACAAAAACAGTTACTCATAAAATTTGCTGGTTTTGCATTTTTAAAAAACGTTTTCTAGTTAGTCATTGCTAATACCCTTGGTGTCTTAGCGGTAAGCTTTAGGGTTTATAACGCTAAAGAATTAGGGCTTGATACCTGCGGTTGGCACAGAGCAGATAGCCCATTGGGTAGCTTTGTGCTTAATAATCAATAATAGACAATCTGCTAAATTCGCTTTTTATTATTTGAAGCTAACAAAATATAACTAACACTTCTAATCAACAAATATTGACAGTAAAAAACCTGAAAGCTGACAACATTGATCAAGTACATATATCTACACATGATAATGTACAAGGTATGAATGTGAAAATAACAACTGAAAGATCAAATAGTTGTCCTACAACATTGATCAGTTGCATATATCTACACATGATAATGTACAAGGTATGAATGTGAAAATAACAACTGAAAGATCAAATAGTTGTCCTACAACATTGATCAAGTGCATATATCTACACATGATAATGTACAAGGTATGAATGTGAAAATAACAACTGAAAGATCAAATAGTTGTCTTACATTGTTTTTTGAGGTTAAATATTTAAAGCGCTGTTGCTTCACAGTTTTTTCCAAGTATGATATCTTTTTCGTACCTTTTTAACGTTTTATATCTTGTTTGTGAATATTCTGACACGTACTTTCCAAGATGAGACGAGAACGATTCTGTTCCACCTACATTGGTGTTAGACCTATAGACTGTAGTAACAAGTATTAATTTAGCGAGTAAGCAGAAATGGGTTGAGGGCTGTCTGTATTTAGGTGTTTACATCTGCTTGGCATCAACAGACAATTCTTAATCAATTTATAAGAGACAAAGTCCTCTAGCTGTAGCAGTTAGTGTAAAGTGTCCCCACCCCCTCTCCACTGTGGACAGAGCGCAGATAACCTATTGTGTTGTAGCTTTGCGCTGAAAACAACATCATTTATATTTTTAAATCTCGGGTAATTTTTTTTATAAACATACAGCAGCTGTACTGCAGCTATGAATATTTCATACATGTTATTTATGTCTGCATTCCATGCTATTTTTACATGCTTCCTTGTTAAATATGTAAATATATGCGTGTTAATGTGTACCTTTTGAGTGATAACTTTCCTTGTGTTAGCTTTCCCTCTATTCGCTTAAGAGAATCCCCATATAATATTTGATCTTATATATCTGAGTTGAAAGATAATGGAATGATACAATTATTTATAGTTTTATCTTAAAAATAAGTCGAAGTTTGGATAGTGACAAGCGCACTGTTATAGAGGCCACCATACGAGATAAATGAAGTTTGGAGATGGCTTGAATGGGTGACGAAAAAACTTTATTACAAGTAACATATGTCATCATCAAGTACCATCAGCTTGTCGAAACGTTGCACATTTTTTACTTGTAATAAAATTTCTTTCATTACCCATTCAAGCCGTCTTCAAACTTTATTTTCTAAAAGTGGGTTCCTCGTCATCAAGTATTGGGTAATTAATTATTGGTTCTGAGTAATTGTCAACAGATGGCGCTAAACGCGATTACATATTCTAACCCTATTGTATGGAAACAAAATAGCTCTTAACGACTCCGCCTAAAAGTGGTATTAAACATGAATTCGACTTCAACATTGAAAGTACATTGCAAGAACGTACTAAAGACAAGATGTCAGAGATGGAACAATAGGAAAACACTGCTTAAAATGTTTCGCACAGTGAAAATACACGTTGTTCCGAACTCGGCTGGTGCATAGTTAATTGTTACAAAGTAATTATATGAAATTTTCATCAGGACTCTCGCATATACACAATCCGCTACTAAATTTATCGATATATTGACAGATACAGATGTGGCTAGAATACGTCACAAATATGATCCGCCAACCAAGGTATATGGCAGAGTTCCAGCAGTTGTATTATGCTCAAATTTTAACTAAGTTATGAAAATCAGTATCTAGTTTAAAAATAATAATACAAGACTGCAGAAACAATTGGGTAGCTGTAAAACACCTAACAGGTATGTTTCTAACTTTCTGTATGGATCTTTAAAAATTCACGTATCTGTGCATGCTCATTATGTACGCTACTGTGCAAAGTACATGTCAAGGTATGAATAATCCTCACTTGTGATATGAAAAAAGCATAGCTAAGTCGGGTTTTGACCCGAATGTTCAATATTTATTGAGCAATCTTTCAACCTCACCTTTGAAGCTGTCTACAGATTGATACCTAACCTGAACAGAGTACACTGTGTAACGTTATTGTGCATTACTTAGCGGAAGACAGATCCAGAAGATAAGTGAAAAGCTTGCCCAATAAGTATTGAGCATGGAGGTTAACCCCGATTGAGTTATGCTTCATCATTAGGTTACCCATGTTGCGATTGTGTATATTATACTAATACCACAAATTAACTCAAGATATTTCATTTAGGAGTTCAGTTTAGTTCGTATATATTTTACTAGTAAAGTAAGTTCAGCCACATACCACGACATAAAACAAAATATGCATTATATAATCTAGGTTAATTTCGAAACAAAATAATGAAAAGGTTATAACAAAAAATAATTTTTTTTCTTACTCTAGTGCACTACGATCGTGATTCTAAGAAACTTTTCTAACCAAGTAGAGGAAAATAAATCCATTATGCGACAAGAAAATATGTATCTTCTGTTTTTACCTAATTTATCAAATGCGCAAGCTGTGTTTGCGATGCTGTTTCCAAAAATAAGTGTATGTTTGGGTAACAACAAATTACTACCGAAAGTTTGTTTATCAAATTATCAAGTACTTACATACATAATTATGTCTCCGCACATAGACATTCCGTTTTTCTGTTGTTTCTTCTTCTTCCAAACATTTTCAATCAATCGCCATTCCTTCATTTCTCGGCGGATTTACTTGAAACTTCGTAGAGTTATACGTTGGTCCAATATGCCCAGACTCATTTTTCATTTTTTTGATTTAGGTCTTTTTAAAGGATTTTATGGGGTCAAAGGTAAAACAACCCAAATATGTGCGGTCGTATTTGCAGCAATCGAGGTGAAAATTGGCAAAAATATAAGATTTCATGCACCCAACACACTGAAATACAAAAACACTTGGATTTGCCTATTCTGAATCTTTTTACAGGGAATTAGAGCTCACAAAAAGCATAATTTTGGAGATTTTGGTCAATTACTCCGGCGTATTTTTGATCAATTTACTTGGGATTTAGTGCA